GGTCATATGACAACAGACAACGCCAGCGATTGACGCTTACGTCACAGTTACGGCCATATTGTGAGTGACATATTGATCAACCCTAAATGAAAAAATAAAAATGGTGCATAGAGTCTAAAATCAAAAACTTAATTATGCAAATATTTTACTTATATGGAATCATCTTCTCTATCAAAGTAAAAAAATAAATAAATTAGAATCTAAGCATAATATGAGAAGTATAATTCATAAAGAATGAACAAGAAAGCACTTAGAAGTCGGTTTTGGATGCTTGTTTTAGTATATGACAATTATACATTACTCCAATTTATTCTTATTAGATATGCATTAGTATTAATGACTAATTATTAAGAAAAAAACATTTATTAAGCTTAATTATCAAAATAACATTTATATCAGTTGTCTATTGAATAAATAGTGAACATCGTGAGTTTCACAACCTATACCTTACATATTACTTTTCTATCAGCAATAACAGTGTACAACTTCCGTTATCATATAAGTAAGTAGTTAACATATAGAAAACTGACAACTGACTATTTTTATTAATCTAAGCTTCAGTTTGGTGCCTTTTCAGAGGAAGTCGTAAGACTTTATTTTAAGCACGGGTTTTTTTTTTGAGTTACATTTTGATCCCCAAAATGCATCAGGAGGTATCATTTAAAATGTAAAACGTTCCATCAGAATCAGATGAAACGTTTCCAACATGGATCGTCCTGGGTTCGAATGTGCCACTCACAATATGGCGGACACGTACCGTTCCTGCTGGGGAACTACACACGTGACTTTTCGTGAGCGCTAGCTTGCTAGTGAGACGCCAACTGAACTTGCAGCAACAGAAGAAAGAAAAGGGGGATTTAGGAAAACATCTGGTTTTGTTTCCAGGATGAAATGCAGGCAGCTGCGATGGATCCCGCCGAGGAGCCGCCGTCCATGCTGTGGGGAATGGACCCCATCTTCTCCGCCTTCGCTCGGCTGTTTGTCAGGGACATCTTGCAGATGACAGAGTCCATACAGGTTCCAGGTAACAACAGCTTGCATGGCAGCTGCGGTTTGTTTTGAGGAAATTCTTGATGATCGCATTCAGACTGAATAACCTTGATTTAATTATCTGTAAACGAGTGAATTTAGTTTCTGTTTACTGTCTGTAGGCATTTATTTACAACTTACATCCCATCTACAAAGTGGACGTTCTTGGGACAGTGGTTTACAAAAGGGAGAGAGACGACTTCTTCTGTTATGGAGGTACTGATGATCTCATTGTGGATTATCACAATATTTGTGTTTAAAACATCTTAATATTTTCCAGTCATATATTTGTAGCATATTCTCTCAGCTAATGCTGCTATTCTGTCATTGTCTGGATAGTGGATGATGGTACTGGAGTTATAAACTGTCTGTGCTGGAAAAGTAATTTATTGAAAGAAGAAGAGGATCCCAGTAAATGTAGGTCTCAGTGAGTCTGAATATCAAAAATATTGACACTCAAATTTTAACCACTTTAATTTAGAGATTCGTCCTAAAAACACATATTTTTATTAAAATTTACAGAAATTGTTTTTGTTTATTTTACGTAAGCTGGGATGAAACACAGTGATGCAGCTGAAGGCGAGTTCGATCTGGTCGCAGAGCTTAGAAAACTCCGACAGAAACAACGCAAACGCTGCCACCTGGAGATCGGAGAGCTGATCCGGGTTCGAGGGCCTGTGAAGACGTCGAGGCAACAGAGAGAAATCACGGCTTCCACCTACTGTGAGAACACTCTTTAGGCCAAACATGCTTTTAAAATATTTGTTTCATTTAATTAAAATTAAATATCACCTCACATAATCTCCACTCATTAAATATTTAAATGCACAATTGAATAAAAAGTTTAATCAAAGACCATAAATCATGTGACTCATACAGCAATAATCTTCAGTCAGAAGCCTCTTCAGTGTTGCCACACTGACTGCTACCAGAGATCTGTCTTGCCTACAGGATCACCATCCCCAGCGACTCTTTTTGAACACAAATTATAACAATTAATTTTCCTCTGGGATAAATACATTGTGTTTGAAATTAATTGAAGTCCTTCTCTAGCATCCGACTCAAAATCCAACATGGCTGCCTCTCATTTTCTTTTATCGCTGTCAGTTTTTAACAGCAGGTCATTTACACACAGAGGTGAAAACATCTTATTTGAAGCCCTTTATTGCAGAAAGATCCATTTATTTTGCTGATAATAATTTGCCAACAAAGAACAAATCCTGCTGGTTTTCAGATGCAGCTGGAATATGGAGTATCTCTTCTGTTCCTTCTTCTGATTGGAAACCACCTTTCCACTTTTAACAATGATCTCTGTGTTGGCTTAATCTGTGTGTGTTTTCCAGAAGAGCTGCAAAGGTTTTTGATGTAAACGAATGACATTTGATTTCGCTTGAGGAGTGTACAGTATGTTCAGCATGCTTGTGTCTGCATGTTTTGGCAGATAAGGTGGATGACCCAATGATGGCGGCCCAGATAGCCTGGATGATGGAGGTCCCTCAGCTCTACAGGCTGTTTTACGACAAGCGCTTCCAGCTCAACGCAGCAGGGTACGGAGATCCGTCTCTGAGAGCAGATTAGGACAATCTCAGAACCCTGAAGATATCTAGATTACAAAACCTCTGAACATGATACTGTGGGAGGGGCAGTGGGTGGCCATCAGCAAATTATTCACAAAAACTGATATTCTTCCTTTAGTTTGTTCTCCTGTAAACCTGAAAACATTTTATTGCTTGCAGAGACTCTGAAGAAAACTTCCCTTAGCAAAGCGACAAACATCATTAAAGACTTCTGAAGCAGAAGTTGGTGGCAAAGTTCAGACCGTACGACGTCCAGGATCTGCTGGAGCCTCTGATCTCCAGCCGGCTAAAAACTCGGTCTGCAGAGCAGGTGAGGAAGACCGGAAAGGGAATTGGTTCCGTCTCGAGCATCGTTTACTACATAGACAGAATAACTCTAAAAATGTGTAAGTATAAGTCTTGGTCTTTATCAAAGAAAATTAGGGCTACTGATAAAAAAAGATTTCTGACTTTAGGGTCGATGGGCGTCTGGGAGCAAAACGCTTTAATGACAGTGATGTGAGAGGAACTAACCTTCTGGAAGAAGAAGCCAGATTTAGGTGATTAAAGTCAGAAATCTGAAAAAAAAGTCAAAATCTTGAAATTAAAGTCACAGTTTTGAGATTAAAGTCAAAATTCTGGGACTAAAATTAGAATCTGGGAAGAAAAAATAGAATCCTGAGATTAAAGTCAAAATTCTAAGGTCAAAGTTGAAAAAGGTCAGAATTCCAAGATTAACATCAGTAATCTGGGGGAAAAAAGTCAGAACTTTTTCTTTTTCAGAAACCATAATCCTCTTCCGTCTCTTTAAATAATTATAATATTAAAAACTAAAGTTTCTTTAATATTTTTGCTAATTCATTTCTGCCTAAATATTTGATCAATCATCTGATCTGCAGAATCAATTCCTCTTAAATGATTGTTATATTCAGCCTTAAGCACCATAAGCATCAGTATCTGTGTGCAGGAGGCTGTTGCTGGTCCGTCTGGCTACCAGCAGCTCACCCAGCTCCTAAAGGAGGTTCTGCAGGTCCTGCAGGACGAAGGCACCGTGTACCGCAAGGTCAAGTCCCAGGATGAAGTGTATCACGTAAGAACGCAGTGGAACCGGTCCTTCAGTCGGGTTACTGTTTCCTGGATGCTTGAAGAGTTTTCTCCTCACCAGGTGACCATACAAGACAAAGATCTGCTCATAGCGGTGAAAGATATCATCAGGGAGGATTCAAAGAGAGAAAAGTGTGAGTAGACTTCAACCTGTTCTTGATTAAATTCTTCTATTTGCTGGTTTTACTGGACGTTTTGTTGGTTCTGTGTGTGTTGGTGTGTGTCAGCCGTCCTGTCTCTGTGCACACAGATGCAGAGAGGGGCTGCCACGTCCTGCACATCCTGTCGGCGGTCAGGCAGCGCTACAGCCTCAATGTGAGCAAGGCGGCCCTGGAGCTCGTCCTGCAGACGCTGGAGTGTGACAGCGAAATCGTCAGCACCAGTGACAGCCACTACATCGCCTTCTGACAGCCGCGGCCTGGAACTCAAACTCAACGTGTCATCAGCACTCCTCGGTTCATCATGACTGGTTTAGATGGTTTAAAGATAAATAAAGGATAAACAGATGGCAGGATCAGCTTGTTCTGATGGCCTGAGACTGAAAAACTCTCCTGGGTTTCTGTTGAGCCCCATTTCTTTGGAACTATCAGCAGTATGAGCAGCCTTTTTTTTAGAATGGTTATTTAATTCTCACGTCTCTTTTGGAAAATAAAAAAAGCTGCCAAGAAACACAAATCTATCTCAGAGGCACCCATCCTCTTCCTCCTCTCGTCCATCTGTTCCCTCTTTTTTAAGCTGTCACAGGGAAAAGACAGGAACATAGAAGCTTATTGTCGCTAGCATCAACCCGATGCGCCGGCAGCTTGATGAACCACCTGCAGCCGCCGTCTCTCCCAGTGGTTATTCGCTGTCTGACATTAACTCCTCCTCACATCATGGTGGAGGAATTTTGGATTTTCTTTTATAACTCTTGAGGTTTATAAATATTCAGTTATTAAAAATATCTCATTTATCCCATAAAGTGTTATTACCAGTGTCTGCAGAGTGTTGAGCCAGTTTTTCATTCAAATGTAAAGGGGCCTGACATTGCAATGTTTTTTTTGCCCAAATAATTTTTGATCAAGAATGACTGATGCCATTATTTTGGTTAGGTGTCGGTATTCAGGTTTTTCCACTTATGAATGTAGAGTTTGCCATGTAGATCAAGAATTTCAAAATAAAAAAACAGAGGACTTTTGTTTTTCTAAACTGAACATTTTATATTTTTCTTAAATATATTTTGTTTTCAAATTTTTACAAATATATACAAATAAAAGATAATCCATTAATGGATTGTCGACCTGAACCTGCATCTTTCGTCCGCTGGGGGTCAGTGTTGGGTCGTCAGTTGTCTCCTCCACGCAGAGCGGCCGCCTCTGATTGGTCGCCTGTGAAACATCTGTATTCAGTTCCAGTGGTTCGTGTCTCCGGCCAGAAAGCTGCAGCTGACTGAGAGCTCGGCGGTCAGACAGCGCGGCTTCCAGCGTAACAGCCGGTAACATGCAGCTGCCTCCCGGGCGCGTCGCGTCGCTGCGGGTCGGTCTGGATGTTTGGATCAGGCTGTTTCGGGCTCTCTGACGCTGACAGAAGAACTTCTGGGGCCCAAAAGGAAGACGAATGAATGAGTCAGGATTACGCAGCAGCCCGGTCACAATCAGTGTCTCTCTGAGTGGGGTTTTCTTCCCGGGATCAAACCGTCGTCCCCGCTGCTGGGAGCCGGGTCCGCCGCTGAGGATCCAGGTCTGCAGCCGGAGGTTTTTTTCTGAGCGACGCTGCAGACACAAAGGAGCGCTCCTCTCGGTTCTTCCTGCTTTTAAGGTGACAGCTTTCCCTCTGCGCTCCCACCAGCAGCCCAGACTGTCTGAGAGACCTGATCTATCGGACTATTGATAAGTTTCAATCAGATTTCCTGCCGTTGCGTCGGGAAGCTGCCGGGTTGGACCGAGGAATGTTGTGATTTATTTATTTTTATTCTAAGGAGGAAGCAGATCCATCCGGAGCGTTTTAATGCAAAGCCTGTGCAGGATCAAGATGCAGTTCCGGACGGTGCTGGACGTGAAAGTTGTGGACGTGGAGAAGAGGCGGAATCCGTCCAAGCACTACGTGAGTTCTCCTCATCTCCCAGTAATATTAACATTCTGGTCCAGTTGGATACGAGGCGTCGGGATTGGTCTCTGGCCTGTCCGCGGGCGCAGCGTGGCACCTAAACGCACCATTTAGTCCGCAGCTGAGGGGAGATGAGGCAGCAGGCCAGGATGTGATGCGGCTCCACACCTGCTCATAAATAAGAAAGCAGCCAGACACTGAGCAGATGAAGCCTCTGCTGCTCCAGCTGACAGGTGAACTCCTACCTGAGTCCTGTCATGGCTGCAGCTCATTATCTCCATCACCACTGAAACTGCTGAAGGGCTCTCCGCTTCTTTACTCACTTATCAGGTCTGAATTGTTTGTTTTTGAAACGACTTCAAGCTAAATATCTCGAAACATCTAACTAAACTAGAACATTTTAGAAGAAATCTGAAGGGTGCCACCTAGCGTCCAAACATCCTCCCACTTTCCGCTGTTGGGAAGCCATGTTGAAAGTTCCTTACTGGTTGGTGTCCAATTAGTGTAAAGCAGGATGGAGCCTGGATACAGACCAGAACCTGCTCAGTTACGTTGTCTGAATGGTTGCTGTGGAGATTCCTGTGTATTCTCAGGAGCCCACAGCATCACTTTTTTTACACATGGGTTACCAAGGACACCAATATCAAGGTGTCCTGAGGGTGAAAAATGTACCGTGTTTCACTCCCTGCAGGGTTTTAATGACGACAGAAGGTGCACCAGTGATCAGAGAAAAAAATCCAGAGGATTCAAAGATCACCATACTTCCTCTACCGTGCTTGACTATCAGTATGATGCTGTGTTCATTTTACCAGAAGTAACCAGGAGAACATCTTCCAAAAGGTTTTGTCTTTGTTTTGTCGGTCCTTCAAATATCTTCTTAAAGCTCTCAGGGAATCATCTGGATGTTTGTTCTTTCTTTTTGCAAAATGAAAGACGTTCCCTTATATTTTCTTTTTCTGCAGTGGTTTTGGTCCTAATAGATGCAAATTTTGCCCAGTATTTAGTTGATGAATATTGAACACTAATGTTGACAGAAATAAGTGAAGCCCATGGGTCTTTAGATGATATTTTGAATTCCTCCTGATATAAATAGATTTATATAAATAGATTTTGTGACTAATAGATGAGAGACTTTGTTTCTCATCTGTTCTTGAATTTTTTTTAGACTAGCCTGACCATAATGTCCCTTCAATGCTCTTTCTGGGATTTCTCCCATTGAGATGCATTTCTCAGGATGAACTTCAGCCGAACCAGCCAGAGAACAAAACAAGTTGTGGTGAATGATGATGCTAACTTTCTGGCTGTTTCAGAATTGTAGTCTGGCTTCTGGTTGTAGTTTGGCAATTGCAGCGGAGTAAATGAACAGTTTGTGTTATGTTTGTGTTCAGTTTGTGTTGGCCATGGTTTTAAATATTGAGTATTTTAAGTCGGAGCAAGAGGAATGTTTCAGACATTGTTCAGTGCCGCATTTCTCTGTCTTTGCATCGGGAAATGGCTCCTGATAGGGCACACAATTTACATTTAGATTTGTAGCGTAGCTTCCTTTACGATCGAGCTGGTGCATTAGACATGTCATGGCCAAACATTAGCGATTGGTTAAAATCAGAGTCAATCATTTCAAAGTCCACACCTAAAGAAAACAATAGCTGGGTGACCAGATCCTCCAGACGAAGCCAAGCGTATAACGAGGTCTGTAACACAAACCAGACAAAATCAAAATGTTCTTCAAAGTGCAACGTTCATTCATCTGCAGCTACTAGAACCTCATGGATAAGGATGACTTTCCAAAACTTTTATGAAGCTGTGCAATACAGTGAAGACATGAATTTCTGTGAGATGGATCCAGGTCTTTGTTGGAAGAAACTGCAGCCAGACTCTGTGATTGAACAGGTTGCGTCATCATTTCCACTTATTTGAGAGCAGCAATAATGCAGAAAAGTCCAGCAGAGATTTTAGAGCAACATGATCTGCCTTCAAGACCAGATCTATGCATTTTCCAGCAAGTCAATGGAAAAACCATTTTCCAAAGCCACAGCTGAGGAAGAGGAGAGGAGGATTATTCTACTGCAGCCCTGAACTGCCTCCAGTGAAGAATGTGGAGAATTTAAAAACTAAAAGTGAAGTGACACCCCCATGTTGCTGGACACCTGAGGGCAGGTTTGCAGAAGGAATGGAATAAAACAAAACCTGAAGAAACACTGATGGGAAAAACAATCTGACCTATGCAACCTGGGAAAAACTCATCAGGAGCAACTTTTTTTGGAATATGGAACAAAGCTGAAGAGAGAACACAAGACAGATCTGGGCGGTTTGGATTTCCTCTCCTCAAAGCATCTGGAACTGATTAAAGCTCATCATCCCGAGTGGAAGGCCTGGCCTTCCTGCTTCCTGATCAGTCTCCGACAGAAAATGTAGGACAATTGAAAAACCAGAAATGGGGCTATCCCTCACTTTTACACACCCTAATACATTTGTGCAGAAAGAATCAAACGATTTGATTGGCACTAAACTGCATTTGTTGATTGGTTCATTGGTCCAACAGCATCTCAACCCATCTGTCACCATATGATTATTGAGATGAGGAGCTGCAAGTCGATAATTCAGTGATCAGACTAGAAATCCAAAGCTTTTTATCAGCTGTGGTGGAAGAGCATCAACTGGACAAGAAAACCCAAGACAAACAAATACTTAGGAGAAACTGGCTGCCCACAGGTACACACAAAATAACATGATCAGACTGTCAAATCATGGTGAAATGGGAAAAAACTTCAGTGTTGCAGCTTTTTACTAAATGTTTTTGCAGAAACTAAATAATGAAATAGTTATGAAAACCAGGATATACTTGGTATTTACTGCCTACTTTAAAATAAGACATAATAAGAATCACAGCATTGCTCAAAGTGCAATTAACCCCCCTATGAAAGCATAACCAAACTTGACAGATGTTGAAGGCTTTCAGTAAAGTGGGTGGAGCCAAGATACACAGAGGGGCGTGGCCAGGTGTGGGGCATGGCCAGGTGTGGGGCTGAGCGGAGAGGGAACGTGAGGCTGTTGCTAAGTTTTCTACTTTCTAGACCTCTCTAATGAAAAAGATTAAGTCCTGAATATCCTATCAATACAGTTTATCAGCAAATACAAGTTGATTTGGTTGTTAGTTGCTCTTTGTTTATTTAAGTTCATGTTTTTCTCATTATTATTATCTTAGCCTTTTAAGAGATTCTGTTCTGGAAAATCTTAAGTGCTTTCTGACTATTTCTCCATCTCCCTTTCACGGTTTCTGTCGTTCTGTGAGAATGTAGGTCACTTTCACCTACTGAGACCTGATGACGGGCTCCAGTGATTGTTATTGCCTTCCTGAACCAGCCACCCCCACCCGACCCCTCACCCCGTCCACTCATCAATAGCAGGCTTGTTGAAGCGTGTGTGTTGAGGCTCTGTGCTTCAAGGCTCCAGTTCAGATCCTGTTTCAGCCTCATAAACAAGTCATAATAAATGACCACAATGAAAGGAACACAATCTCCCTAATACTCAATTACAGGACTGCAGACCCTCAGGCATAATGATATGTGGACACAATTAGCACTCTTGTTCTGCTCTGCATGCTGGAGATCAGCTTGTTCCCTGTTACAAACATATTATACATCATATCCCAGTTTTATTTTTCAAATGAAAGCTGATGATGTGTTGCCGATGTTTTTAAAGAAAGGACAGACTGAGTTCAGTGAAGTTATTCTGATTCTGAGATTTGTTTGCTGAATGTGAATGAAAAGTTTGACTTTTTTCCAACTTATCAGTTCAGAATGTTGTTTGTTGTATTCTTCCAGTTGAAATGTTTTCAGGAAGTTTGAGGTCTGGATTGTGGTTGGGTCACTTTAGCACCTGGATTCTTTTCCTTTCCTTTCTTAATGAAGTGATGTTGCTGTAATCCTGCAAAATATGGTCAGCGGCGGCAAATGAAGCTGGAAAAAACACACAGAAAACATTATTCACAAACAGAATGGGACTGGATGGACAAACGGATGGATGAATGAATAAACTGTGAAATGATGCAAGTATCAAATAAATTGTTTAAATAAAACTGGAGAGGTTCTTTTCCTGCTCTCTAACTTCTGCTTCGCTCCTTGTCAGAGCGATGGGACACAATAAGCATTTTCTTCCTGTCTGTCAGTTCTCATATAGCTAGGGGACAGCTAAACTGCGTGTTTATGCATTTCTTTTGTCTTATTACTGCACTGTACACATTTGTGCAAAGTAAATGCGGTGAAGTAATTATAAGAGAATACACGTCTGCTTGTCCCTGATAAGAGCGTAATGTCCTGAGCACGAGCTTTTCAAGCACAGGAACATCTGAAAGCTGCTGCCATTGTGTTTTTTCCCAGAGAAATGGAGACATTGTCCTAAATAATTCTTTATTTCTGTACAGTCTGTTGGGATGGAGGCACAAACTAGTGCACAACATGAAGCAGGTTCAGATTTGCCTTGTTAGAAACAGTAATAATTTGTTAAATTTTACATGGACATATTTTTATGAAAATTCCTATGACTTAAAAAGATAAGATAAAATTACCTAAGCCTTAGTTATTTATGAGCTTGTAGGCATTGGCTGCTATAAAATTAACCTTGAGTGAAAAACCAACTTTTTGTTGCACAAACTGGGTGTGCTCCGATAAATCCTATAAATGTGAAAACTCTGAAAGTTTCTAGATGAAGTCACTAAAGACGCTGCTGCTGCCATTAACGCTTAACTTCTTAAAAGCTTGATATTTATTGATGGCAGTAAGCTTGGCTTAAAGTAAAACATTTTATACATACTAATGACTATTTCCACTCACACTAATCTGAATAAATCCATTGTTTCTTCTACAAATTTGATCTGCATTCATGTAAAAAAACGTCGTCTGCTCTAGTTGAAGCATCGGTGCTGCTTAATGTTTGGAAAATATTTTCATAATAGCTGATAAATAAGTGGATCTAGTCTTTTGTTATTTAATGGATGA